TGCATTTAGGATCATTGGCTGTACGTACATTGAAAGTATCCTATTTCAATTTTGATTGTTATTGTCTCATGGAAGGATTTATTTCTCCATGCGAATCAACTCGCGAATTCACTCGCGAAATTAAGTGATATATTATTTATGTTGAAAGATAATGTAATAATTTGTATGTGCTATTGAAGTCCCCAATACTTCCCACGGAATAGTATTAACATGTTCAATATCATATCCTGTCAGCTTCACAAATAATAGCCGTTGATAAACATATACCACAGCAGTATCAGTGGCACATTTTATAAAAGATCAAGGGGGATATCACAGAGTGACGATTGATAAGTTTTTATATCCCATGGAGTGGGTTAATTTTAAGGAGGTGACATTTCTTTGATTTTACCTAGGAGAAGATGACAAAGCAGAAGACGCTTACTCTCTAGAACACCTGGTCTTACTATCCTTGCACTTTCACAAGGGTCTGTATGTAATGTTTTCTTAGTTTTATCACATATGAGTTCAATTCACGGTTCAGCTATGGGAAAAAACATATTTATGCACAATTTCATCAAATTATGTGAAGAATAAAATAAACATTTTTAAGGGCTTTATAATGTTGTTACATCTTGTGCTGGTCGTTCCTATTTCTTTATTTAAATACAATAAAAAATGTTGAAACTAATACAATAAATGCATCATATTTATCAAAAAAGAAGAATATATACGCGACAAATATTCTAAAGATAAATCATCAGCGTTTATTGGGATATGATGGATAAGAAGGAAATCATTACTGCATAAAATATACGTGAATTTTTGTGTGCTGTACGAATACAACCAATTTAAACATTATTTAAACCTCAGAGGAGCTCACGTTGTCTGTTCTTTTGTACTTTTTGACTCTTTGGTATCTTTTTGTTTATTTAACCATTAATAACAGAACAAGACAAGAACATTTTAAAGACTACTATCACTAAAATGTATACATCCATTTTGTAAAAAGTAGGTCCTTCGCAATGATAACACCACTCGTAACTGTCGGTTTTTATTCTTACCTAAACCCCATCCCTTTTATTATACATAGCAAAATTAGAGGTTAAGAGATTGATACTATACGGCCCATTCAAACAAAATAGGTCACAATAAGTCAAACGGTACACAACTAAGGGAAGATCAGATAACATCAAAAGTGTGGTACATTGTCGTTTCTTTAGGCGACAAGCTGTCAATCATTTAGAGGAAGTCGTTCAAATTAACAGAACACGGAGCTGTGGGTATGACATTTTACGAGGAAGCAGGAAATTCTCACGCTATTTGTATTATTTAAAATAAAAAGAGCGTTACTTCCGGATTAATTGATATGTACGTTTCATATAAAGATAACTCTCCTTGCAATTACATAGGAACTAAAATAGCACGTGATCAATACATATTCATTGGTAAATTCGGAACCAAGTGATGATTATTGATTACAAAAGTGTTACAATAGTGTCTCGAGATACATCACATGATAACAATAGAAGATAGCGAAAGAGCCCGATGTACACCGAACGACAAGGAAACACACGAAAGTCCGACACTCGTTCTTTATCTCTGAAATTTAGCTGTGAAATATCTCTGCTTTCTCCCATAAACCTTGAAGGAAATTTGGTGTAATACAACTATTTAATTCCCATCAAATTTTAAATTAATATACCATATGTCCAGTCCAATCAATTGGAGCTTATGAACACGTACGAACAACATCCCCGTCATTAGTAGAAAGGTGCAGATTTGAGAAAGGGAAATATGTTTTAGATAATAAGCATCACCTGTGTTAATGAATCTGACACCTGCTATTGTTAAACCGACAGTATGTTAGTAGGAAGTGAAAACCGGGCCATCTGTTTATTGAGTACTCATAATACAGGCGTTCAAATGTTTCTCTGTATAACTACAAATGTATCTACTATAAAAATGACATACTTTTTGTTCACCGATACAACTTCCGGTTTTGATAAAATGGAGATAAGACCTAGTTTAAACCTTAGCACTTCGTTTATGTAATACTTGACGAAGGAAGAATGAAAAGTTGTCCTTTTCATGGCGTGTCATACAAAGTAACTAGTCCATCTCTATGTATTGCTTAAACAGAATGGCTATAAACAATTTGCAAACTGCCGTAAAAGCGGACATTGTCATGTGTAGACATAATGGCGTGATGCCTCTTGAAAATGAACATGGTGTTGACATTTAGTGTTGGCTATGGACGTAAAATAAAGATATATTACATTTATAATCCATATATAAAGTTGAACGTGTTTGTATACTCCAAAGCGAAAAACGCGTTCATTTCCATGTCGCAAAAAATGCTACTTTTATAGTATATTCAGGGACTAGTGATACAAATGAAAAGTACCACCCTATCCTAACATTATGACACATAATGAACTTCTTCAGTTATCGGTATAAAAATGTATGTAGCTCAGCAGTTGTGTATGCTAAAAAATGATATAAGGGATGTGATTGAAGATGGCGAATAAGTTAAATAAGATAAGTAGCGTTGTGTACTTAAACATCGACTTATATCGTCATTCTTACCCTTAAATACCGAGAAGTCATTTAAGGTCTATCGATTTTTTTTCATAAAAGCATCCTTACCCCACTTTCATCCTCGAAAGTTTAGGGGGTAACACTCACTTATATATAGTGGAATGTGTCTTGGCAAAATCAAAGGCTCTGCTTGCGCTACCTTTTTGGATAATACAAACAGATTAGATTTATACTTTGATGTACATCAAAAGATTGACTGGCTTTGAAGTCGGGTGTCAATCCTCTGTAACATTTGAAGGACAGCTACTGGTGAGTTTGTTTCATACCTGAAGCCAATCAATAAACTCACTTCCTGCCTCCAATTTGGTTTTGATTTAACCCAGGGGTGCAGAGATTTCTAAAATGCCAAACCATCTATAAACTATATTTTGATACCATCGACCTTTAAACTACACACGCAAACGTTATTCAGATGTTAAAACAAACGACCGACATGGAAAGTGGTGCACAGTTATAGTTCAGTAAGAAACCAAGCTACACCCATTTTTTTTTTTTTCAATGACAGATTTTTCGCTTTTACATTCTTGCTGTAAAGTTAATCATGTGCTGATGTTTTTGATCTAGTATGCAGACTAGATACATTTTATTTTATTTGAGGTACGTGTATATTGGTAACTTCATTTGATTGAACCTTTATTTGTTTCAGAACTATTTATTAAAATATGGTTACCTAGACAACGAAAGCCGTATTCCCAGGAAGGAAAGACGACACGCCATATTGTAAGTAAACTGATAGTATTGTAAAAGTATCGTGTATTTTCACTTGAAGAAACATTCGCGGAAACAGGTTCTTTACATGTGATTTTTTCTCTCAAAAATGGATGGGATTTGAATCTCTGATTTCTGTAGAAGATTTTGGTTTACCATGGAAAACTTTTTTTACTGTAAGCCTTTAACAATATCATATAAACCAGAGCGATCCTATAAGGTACTAACATGTAGCGGCCAACAGAACGGCAATATACTTTAGTAGATATCTTGTGTTATTGCACAAAATAATAACAACAGCAATTCATTCAAAAGAGAAAAACATTAAATATTTTCCACCTGCAAGTTTTGAAAGATATTTGCCGATTAGTTTTGTTATCATGCCCATTTTAAAACCAATATACTACCGCTTGGCACCAAGGAATACTTGCTTATACTAATATACTTTTGTTTGTCACCTAGCAGGAATGGTGACGACTTGATAGCATTCCTCTATTGATATCCGAGATTTAAGGATGGTTGTCCCACTGAATTACGGTTTTTCGAATTTATAGAAACCTCCCCTTAATTTCGATTTGGATATATAACCGTAGCATAGTATGGCAAGGGCAGGTAGCTCAGTCGGTCAGAGTTATAGTAGAACAAAACTAGTCCATGATTTGACTCCCGGCTAAATACAATAATTTATATACTCAGAACCCTGTTGTTGATTATATTTCGTTCATTTCATCGTTGTTATATTTTCATAAAAGGCCCGCTACGTAAAGTTTTCTTTTCAGAAAGGATTTTTCCAATCTATAGTCATACCGGAAAACTTTCAAAGCGTAGTTACGGTTTCTTTCGCAGTAAAAGGAATCCTTCAAATATAATTTGTCTGCAAATAAGTTTTCATACATATACTTTATAGATAGTGTTGAATTGATTTGTGTACAGCCAGTTTTGGGAATACAAATATAAAATACGAAGGCGTTTATAAAATACTTAAAAAAATCAGGCCTTAGGCAATGTGTTTTAAAATTGTTTCTAGTCCATTTTTTTAACGGATCAGACTTATTGAGGTTACACACTCTATTGAAATGGATTATTTGTACCGGAGATGATTTATCACTATAACCCCCATCGGATGCTTTATCTCATTTTTAAAAAGCAGTGTACATATTGATATTAAAAACATGTGGGGAAATCTATCAGGTGTGACCCGAAATGTTCCTCTATGCTCTCCAGGCCCACAGAACAGTTCATAACAGCCATTTCACTCATTACTGTTATATACCATACTTCACAGTAATGTGTACTTTTGTAAAGAAACCTGCTACCATGTTGTTTGAATTTCCATTTGTTTTAATTAAATTGTTTGGAAGGGAATGGGCTACCACATTTTACATTTAACCTTCAATTGATAATAATTTAAAAAAAAATGAGATAGCGAACAACAAACTTAACCGATGCTTATTTTTTTTATACTATTTAACTTTTAATTTCATCTTTTTACTCGTCTCGAACTATACACTCCACGTTTTATTAAAACTGTATACTTTTTACATTTTATTTGAGTATCAACAACAGCGCTGCTCTTATCTTTGTAACTTAATTAGAGATTGTCATCATCAAAGTTTACATAAATAATATTCTGCTTAATGGTCTCCAGGTCGTTCCAGCATTACAATGGCTTGCGCGAGACAGGAAAGCTAAATCGCCGAACAGTGCATAAAATGGCTGAGCCTCGTTGTGGAATTCCGGATGATGTTCATCCCGAGGTGAAAAAGAGAAAGAAAAGACAAGCTTCGTATGGTAACAAGATTTGTTCTTACTATTCATAAAAGATAGTTAAGTAGTAATTTATCTACAACATTCAAACATTGAAATAAGTACAATGTAGTAAAAATATTGTGATATCAGAACCATCAATTATTACGTTTAAACACAAACTCGATAAACATCGGATTTTTCAGGAACTGCAATATAATTACAGAGCTAATGCATTTTGTTAAACGTGTGATGTCGATAACCGAGTTTTCATATAAGGGTACATCATGTATAAGAAAATAGACTTAACTTTAACTATTAATTAAATCTTGAACGTCCAGGTCGAGGCTGGCGACAGAAGGTCATCACGTGGCGACCAACCTCCTACTCAAGGAAGTTACCGATCTACAAACAGTGGTAAGTGAACCATTCACCTTTGGTAAACGCAGCGAATGGCTGCTCAGTTTAGCTGTGATTTTGTTAAAGTTTTAATGCAGACTTCAATCAAAGAATTTTTATCACAGTGATATAAATCTCCAGTATATTTGGTATATTTTGGATGATGTATATTTTCTTGATATTTTCGCTCGCGGCAGTTACTGCAGTCAAGTGCAATAATAAATATTTCATAGGTATAAACATAGATTATATGAAATGTAAACGTTTATCTTCACTACTGCAGATCCTCTCTAAAAGAAATAGCAACTAAGATGTACAAACTGCTAAACTGTAGTTTGATTTATCTTTTTGTGTTTTCTCATCCTACAGGAAGACACTGAAAATAGCATTCCAGACTTGGGCCCAAGTTATACCAAGACATTTCAAGTACACAACAGAAAATCCGGATATTGTCATAAAGTTTGCAAGGGGTATCCATGGTGATGGTTACTATAATGGATTTGACGGAAGAGGTACAGTAAATAAATATATAAATAAATTTAAAAATAGAAAAGAAAAAACCAAAAAAGTGTGTTTCTCCAAAACGCATTTACCAAATATAATAGTTTGTGGTAATTGGTTGTTAGCAGTTCGATTTACGTTAAGGTAAAGAGTACCACTGAATCAGTTATAATCGCGAAGAAGAGTTCCACTCAAAGTTATTTTTAAAAATTGGAGTGTTCTCCCCTCTGCATAGAAGATGAAGTAACCTAAAAGGCTAAGAATAACTTTTCATGTCAAGTTTTTCATGGGCTTCGCGGACCTTCAATTGGACACTATTGTTGATTCGTTGTAAAAATCATTGCTAGATAGAAACGTTTATAAAGCGTATGCTTGGTAATATAAAGGTCCTGAGTTCGAATCCTGCTGTTACTAACTTATACTTACTTTTATATTTTATTTTCAATGATTTAAATTTGGAACAACTGCAATTCTATAAAATTCCTGACAACATATGACTTCTATGAACACTTCTTTTATAAAAGGCGTAAACAAATATTTCACAATGGAGAAAATGCAATTATTATAACAAGGTATATGCGTTTAACTTGATGGTTTTCAATTTACAAACAATAAGCGAAAATAGTACATTTTAAAACAATACTCCTTGTGGCAGTCCATTTAATCTGAGATTGTTTCAGTAAAGATTAGATCCAATTCCATTTAAGGTACTCTGGGACCAATTATCTTCAATATTGAAATATATATGTACAGAGATTAAGTTTGTCTAAAGCGTATCTTTTTAAACAGGAATTACAACTAGACTGTTGTCTGCCACTTGGCAACATTTTATTGTGTGTGTAAATACAGAGCAAATATCTGCATCGTTTGTAATGCTGAGAATAGTAGACTGACATCTAAAGATCCACCAATAATAAAAACCTGTGTATCCTTGTCAGATAAACCACATGATTTATATTCATGATATAATACGTAGCGGCATTGGGTTTGGTCGATCGTCGACGACCAGATAGTTCAACCAGGAGAGCGACCGTCTAGTGTTCGGTTGGTCCCGGGTCCGGGTCTCAGTCTGGTCGTGCAATTTTCCTCTCTTTATTATAAAGAACAATGGCTATTTCCTATTTTTTTCTCCATTCAGGGATGACTCTGGCGCACGCTTTCCGACCCGGAAAACACCCCATGTCTGGCGATACCCACTTCGACGATGACGAGGACTGGAGTAGGAACGGAACAGGAACCGCCACTAGTCCCGACCTCCTGGCTGTGGCCACTCACGAGTTTGGACACGCCATTGGACTAGATCATTCCGCTGACTACACTAGTATTATGTCACCTTTCTTTTCTGCCAGTAGGACAGAACTCACACAAAGCGACATCAGAGCAGCTCAAACTATCTATGGTAAAGTTGAAACGTGGTTTGTATTGCTCCTTAAGATTTTCGCATCTGTGCTAACCAAATTGTATCGGGACATGAAACATATCCGTTCGCATTGATTTCTTTTGCAGATTTTCTACAACACTGCTCATTGAGGCAATATGTGTGTACAGGTCCGATTTCATATTTAAAATAATATGTGTTTAATGACGTAGTTTTGTTTTAAAATGGAGAAGTACATTTCTGATATCCTTGCGTACATCTTTATCTTTGCAAAAATCCCAAACAAACCCAAAACCTGGATCTAAGGGAAAGGAGGGATGTCTTTGGGCCCTTCCTTTTAAAAGAAATGAAAAACGCCTAGCATAAAGTAAAAGAATAAAAATGAAAAATATCAAAAAATAAAATAAATAAATGCATAGCCCAGGAAAGTCCACACCTTGAAAACTATTTCTTTGCTAAAAATGAACATCCCAAGTAGGCCAATATGCTTGAACTTGAGTAAGTAAACTATATATCTATTTTCAGCTTTTTTTATAATGCTGTGTTTAATTGCTTTTAGGGTCAAAGGTAATACATGTTCCGCCACCTCGACGACGCAATTCTGTTACAAGGACCACATCAAATAACCCCGGATATAGCACCACACCCAAACCTCGCCAAAGGTACATAACTAAAATGCCAACTACCACAACCACAGATAACCCTAGGCAGAACACTATACCGCAACGTCGAACCCGGTACAGACCTAGAACAGCGCCCGACATACCAAAGTCCACACTGAAGAAATTATCCCAGTGCCAGGGTGTTGATGCCATGTTTATGGGTAAGTATGTTATGCGTCACAAAATATTGTGAATATCCTCAAAGGTAATTTAAAGCTTATGTATTAAAAAAAGTTCCGTACTTTAGTTGTATTCAAGATTTTTAGGGGTTACGAAGAGTCGACGTTTTAAGAGTTAAATGGCTATTTTGTTATGATGACTTTTGGATGAAACAATAATAGAGTTTGTTCTTATTTTCAGGACAAGACGGTTATGTCAGCGTCATAGCAAATGAAACATTGTTCCAAGCGGACAGAAGGTCTGGTTCCTACCAGTCCTTTGCTTTGAGATCAATCTATCCTAACGCACCACTTCCGGTGGGAGCGGCGGCTTACATAAAAGGAAGACTTTATCTATTTAAAGGTAAGACACATTTAAAAGTAAAAAATATACATATAAATGACTTGCGCTTTCCTTATAACAAAGAAAATATCTCAAACGCTTAAGCATTGTCCTGTCCCATCTCAAAGTAAGTTATGATATCAAAACATGTTAAATATTGGCAGAACATTTTTCATGCTACATTGTACGATGCATAATTCAGGTTTGAGTGAAAATGAATTTCAAGTTTTAACATTAAAAACATTATGAACAATGTACAGCACAACATATCTGTTTGAATTTTTCCTGTTCTCAAGTAATTGAAGAGTAGCAAATTTTGATAATGTCAAGCAGCTGTACAAATAGCTCAATGCCATTTTAAATTCCAGACAGCCATGTTTGGCGCTACACAAAACACAAATTGGATTTCGGTTTTCCGAAGAAATTATCGACCCACGAAAAAGGCGAGTACCCTCGGGCTGCGATCAGTACTAAAGGGTATCGGAGTCGGCGGATATATCTATTTGGTGTAAGTATTTTTTCCGAATTATAACCGATTGCAACATATGGTGCTAGAATATGTTTTTTGAAATGTATTATGATGCTTTATCCCATCCCCCCCACCATCCTCGATACTTCAGGTGTAACGTTTACTTTCACTCTCTGCACCCCTGGAATATGTCATAGAAAACCTGAAGGCAGGCGGCTACCTATTTGATCGGTCGCAGATAAAACATCCTGACCAATCGCTAGGCTGATACTTCTCCTTTAAAGATTATCGAGGAGCGACATCCAACTTTAAAGCCAGTAAATGTTATCGTTTTCGCGACCGCGAGATTCTTCTGATGTATATCAAAGGATCAAACTAGTCTTCTTGTCTCACCTGCAAGGTGTTGCACACTAAGCCTTTGATTTTGCTATGACATATTCTAGGGTTGTAAAGAGCGAAAGGGGGCGTAACCCCTGGAGTATCGATGATGTTTCCCCCCGTAACATAATTTATCCTGTAGTTGTAATTTATGTCAAATATTTGAGCTCTTATTTTGTCCTTAAATGGTATTCATCAGGGAAGTACAACTAGGTTAATAAAAATGCCAAAGGAAAACACACGTTTAAAGGATTATCTGCCATTTATTAAAATAAAAGCTATACACTCATGATATGTTTTAAAACTCGTCATTCACTTCAAGTAAAGTGTATGATTCGTGTATAGTTGTTTAATTGACAGAACATCCTTATTTAGAAGAAGTCAGTTGTATAGAATGTTAAATTATGACGTCATATTAATGATGACATCGACACGTGGGCCATGGCATGTATCAGTACTGTGAACGCCATCTGAACATAGTAGGGTTATACAGTGACGGAGCCTAGAGTAATACGTATTAGTGTAGGATACTGCAGAATATTTACAGTTTTTCAGTTTAATATGGCATCTTATTTTCTGATAATTATTGAAAATCTTATTGATTCATAATATTTTATATTTGAATGCGAGAAAATTAAGTTATATTTTTCCATACTTTAATCTACTTGATGATGCTAGTGTAAACAGGATGCGGTATGTTTTGTATTTAAATACACCTATGTTACAGAAAACGAAATTCTGGGAATGGAGTTTATGGAATGATGACGTCATTGGACGTAAGCAGCATAACATCAAGCAATTTTGGAAAGGTGTGCCAAGCTCTCCTGATGCTGCAGTTACCTGGACTGATCAGGCCATCTACTTCGTGAAAAATAATATGTAAGTATTATGCAAAAATAAGTAAACATTTTCCTCTCGTTTCACAGAGCAGATACTTGACTAACAGTCCCTGCCGGTATTGTACCTGCTGCCCCCTTTGATTGATCGTAAGAGGCGACTAAATTTGGGATATTATCTTTTCTTCTCTTTCTAAACATATTTCTTCTTCCTAATGGATCCCTTGACAATGCCTTCACTTTTGGCCTTTAGTTGAGCGTTCGCCCCTGTGAGGAAGGCTTTGGGTTCTGTCCCCTGGCCGAGACATACCAGAGTCTGTAAAAATGGTAGTTTCTACTCCTGCTTAACGCTCAGCAATTTAGGAGTGGGACGGCTGGTTTGCCCGTTGTCAGTATAATGTGACCGAGTGGGGTGTCCTGCTGGGCAGTATGTTTCAGTGAGGTAGCACTATAAAGTCGGCATCAGTTCCGCGCTATCACAAGGAGACAAACACGAACATATCGCAGCCTCCCAAAACACAAAAGCATATACTACACGCAGGCATCTTGCACACAGGGAAGGCCGTCCTTAAATGACCATTGCTGTTGATTGGCCGTTAAACAATACTAAACAAAACCAAACTTGACTAACATATATTTCTGTTTTTCGTATTTTGTCAGGTATTACAAAGTCAGCCAAAGAACAAGAAGACTTTCAAGACGTTATCCAAAGCGCATGCCTGCACCGTGGATGAGAGATTTATGTGAAAATAACTGAAGGTTCCAAAACTACGAATTCTGTTGACTTGGTGTTTGTTCGGTTTAATCAATGTAACTTAAACCTAGAGATCGACTGATTGAATGAAAGGCAATTCCGTTTATAAATAAGGTAGCAAAACGAAGTAGAGTGCCAAGGGAGAAAGTGAAACCATGATTGAAATTCAATTTAAGAATGAAAAAGTGTTGTCCCATTTCATCATCGTCCCATTGACATAACAAACTATTGTTTGTTCGATTTCTTGTTGGATATTACCAGGTTTTCCCGTGGTCACAGCTCTGTAAAACTCATCATTCACGTACAGGTTTTCTGACGTGTTTTACCTTCGTGTGGCATTATCTTACCACAGTAGCCATATATTGTGACGAGTTAACTCACCTTGGTAACAATTTAGGGAATTTAACCAGTCTTATGGTGAGTTAACTCACGTTGGTTACTATATATGCATATCAACCAGTAATATGATGAGTTAGTTCACCTTGGTAATTGTATTTGACAGTCAACCAGTCTTGTTATGATGCGTTAACTTACCTTGGTTACTATAAAGGAATATCAACCAGTAATATGATGAGTTAACTCACCTTGGTAACTATATAGGAATATCAACCAGTCTTGTTATGATGAGTTAACTCACCTTGGTTACTATAAAGAAATATCAACCAGTAATATGATGAGTTAACTCACCTTGGCAATTTTATAGGAATATCAACCAGTAATATGATGAGTTAACTCACCTTGGTAACTATATAGGAATATCAACCAGTCTTGTTATGATGAGTTAACTCACCTTGATTACTATATAGGAATATCAACCAGTAATATGATGAGTTAACTCACCTTGGTAACTATATAGGAATATCAACCTGTCTTGTTATGATGAGTTAACTCACCTTGGTTACTATAAAGGAATATCAACCAGTAATATGATGAGTTAACTCACCTTGGTATCTATATAGGAATATCAACCAGCAATATGATGGTTAACTCACCTTGGTAATTTTATAGGAATATCAACCAGTAATATGATGAGTTAACTCACCTTGGTAACCAGTAATATGATGAGTTAACTCACCTTGGTAACTATATATGACAATCACTCTGTTTTGTGATGAGTTTATTCTCCTTTGTAACTATAAATGGCAATAAATCAGTCTTGTGGTGTGTTGACTCTGTCAGGCAGCGGTTTACGAGAATTAAATTTACTTCGCTCATTTTGATTGTGTTTTAAACTCAATGTCTTTCATGTAAATAAACACACTTATATTGCAAGTGATGTGGCCATATTGAAGTAAATGTAAGTGTGCACGTAAAATCAGTTGTGGCTTAATTGGAACATTTCTCATTTCTATTTTCTTGGAAGTAAACTGACACATATCTTTTCAAAATCGCATTTTAAGAATAATAAAATATATGTATAAGGACAGCCTACCAGTAATCATTAAAAACAGGACCATTTTGTTACGGTACATAGCACGTATTCAGTTTTCTTTAAGACGGAAGCAAAAATCATAACGAAAACACGCAATAAGGAAGCATCTGTTAAAATGTGTTGCGTTTGTGTAAGATAGCCAAACAGTTGCCATTATGTTCCATTTTTGAAATGAAATGAAAATATTTAAAATCAATTCCGAAATGTATGTAAAAATACAGCAACATGGCACTTATCGCCTTTAAACTAAACCATAGTATATAAAAACCTACTATAGTTTACAAATATTTACATGGATCTCTATGCGGAGAAGAGGTTGATCTGTAATACATCATTGTTAAATATGCTTAGGTATGAATGTTTGTATGTTTATTACTAGTAACATGCAGTAACTTGGCGCTATCATTAATCATATGTTGTCCAACGTCTTTGCAAAAAACAATTTAAAAATAGTTCAAAAATATCTATGTTGGCAAAACACCCAAGACTTCGTTACCTGTTCTTATTCCAGATATATTTATTTATGTTGTTTAAGCCTAGCCGAAGTAGCATTTCAGAACCTCCCGAATAAATAATAGTTTGATCATAAATGTTGAATCAGGGGTGATCAATACGATCAGATGTAAATAATAATATTTTGACGCGTCCCATTGCACTTTGCCGTGTTTTCTTCGTAAGGCATATTCATCATTAGCGAAATAATTACATAATTTGTAACTTTAACTCTAGTATTGATGTTAGCATAATTTTCCATATATTGTTGCACATGTGTATGTAAATTTTAGATGTTTGAAGTATGTCTGTGTAAAGATTCAAATTATTTTATATAAATTAAAGCCTTGCAATGCGAGATATTATACAAATGATGTTCAGTTACTATAAAACAAATAATGTAACCATTATTTCTATGACTTGAAGAGCTTATTTACCTGGAACTTGCTCACGATACTCTGATGTTCCGAAATTATACAAATATTATTTCACGCATTGTAACAAAATAGTCTACTGGAAGACATCCACTGTATTTTACGATTTTACAAACTTACCATTTCAATGTCTTTTTACTGCGGAGCTTACCTCACTTGTAAAATTATGCCGCCTTTGAAAAAAATGTCCAAATACATATACATGTACAAGATAATATACTATATAATAAAATATTGTCGAAAGATCATTGTGATTTTCATATGTAATAGGTGTCAGTGTTCCAACGAAATGCAGAAAAAATGTTGATATTGGTCTTTTTATGACATAGGCGTCCGAGGAAAACTAGTCTGACATGATTGATTAACACTCTTGGATATTGGATGACAAGGGATTAATTCTGTTGTCAGGGCAGCATAAATGCTGTCCCTGGATTTCATGCATGCTAAATAGACATGGTTTTATATGAATGTCATTTAAAAAAAATTAAATTCATATTACTTACTTTCTATTCTTTACTTAAACTCCTTGCTGACAGATAAAACAGCTGCATATAGTTGTATTGTCAACTATATCATTTACACCTACAAGTATGAAATATGACATTATCATTTCAGTTTGTATGGCGTAGAAGAAATTCGTTACTAAATTTCTAATATCTACTAGCAAATATAACAAAAACTAATATACAAATGTAATCAAGTTTATATCGACATTTATTGAAAAAAACATTTTTTTCCAAAAATACACAAAAATAGAATTATTGCTGTTTTCTGTAAAACATATATCTAGCCCATTCCTGAAACATAATTACATAGTTTAGGATAATGTTTTTTTCCATTCATTGATTTATAAACGACTTATCTCCCCTTGTTGGCAAACAAATTCAGCTATACTATACTAGTATTAATGAAGATGTTTTGCGTCACATTTAACAGTATACGACACAAATAGCATAGGTGTTCTAACAACAGTATTTATAAAAGCACTTGTGAAAAAGTAAAATAAATAAAACATGATTTAAGCAAGACTTGAATTCCATATAAAATAAGTGTTATTTAAAAATGGCACATTCGCAAATGATTCTTTTATCATTTTTGCTGATGTTGCTGCATTTAATATTACAAATCTACAATTAAGTGTGTCATAGCTGTATTTAAAAAAAAGAAGGTATAATTCGGTAATTACATGAATTAACAAAATCGAGGTTTATTACCAAGTCTTATTCATAAAACCCGCATTGTCCATTTCTTTCAATAAAAATGTTTATCGTTTCCCAAGTACCGTATATAGGAGTAGTTATTGTACACATTTATAATAAAGATGCTCAATACACATCGCCACACGGTAATTTCTTTGGACACGTTTATTATGGTAACATAAAATGTCGGTAACTGATATCCAAATTATATGTTTTCATTCACCGTCATAATTAATGATTGTGACCCGCCTTTTGCTAATGAAGAACTTGCATCTCCCTTATTATCAGCAGTAAAACAGCAAGTCAAACCCGACACGAACGAGATAGCACTGTAAGAATACACACAATAGGTACACGATGAGATGTATGATCCGTTTATAAACAAAATGATGTATGATCCGTTTATAAACAAATTGATGCATGATCCGTTTATTAACAAAATGTCATTTCATTACATGATAAATATTTTCGGTGTTTCATAATTCAAATTATATTGAGCACTCTAATAATACGATATTAGAGAAAAATGTTCTTATAAAAATAAATGTTGATGTAAAATATGGGATATGACACATGTCTTTTTACGTTTGTTGATACAAGTAACGAACATGAGAGTACCTTAATTGTTTATTACATGTATGATTACATTAATGGGTGAATATTGAATCATAAAAAAATAAAAAAATAAAAAATAAAAATAAAAACAACACTAGAATTGTTATCTACTGTGTACCACCTTACTAATCAGCACAATATCAATTAAGTAGTTAATGAGCATATTCGATACCAGTATGGTTTCATGAAATAATGACGATATAATTTAATATGAAATAATGTGGATATCCATATGTAAGATTTTTAAATCAAGGGATATAACTCTTTCTAAAGAAACAGAAACGGCATGATTGGCATAAAGGCACAGGTAAATATAATGGGTAAGATCGTGTTTGTTGGAATTCATATATTGATATGGGAGAAATGAGTAAATCAAGGGCGGTAACTCTTTTTTACATCCGGCAGAAATATATGCCTGTTTTAATTTAAATCCAGACAGAGAAACAAACGGACGGAAAGATTCGTTGTTAGTTGTGCAGAATTATATTTACTGACTAAAAATCAAAAAGTAAATTTAAATTTAAAATCGCTTAGAATGACATTTGATTGACTACTGGCATTGATCGAAATTAACAAACAAAATATTAATCAACATTATATAATAATCGATATGATTGTTTCAGGTATTTAACATCCAAATATCAGATTTGAAACAAATCATGATGAATTAACTTTTGTTTTAAATTTATCATTCAAGTAGTTATATGTCTCGGAAATTAATACACAGATGATTTTAAAAGAAGCTACTAAGAGTTAAATTTCGCGAGTCCGTACAATTTCGTTACTGAATACTGATAATACTCCGAATTACACAATTAGAAATAGTTAATGGTATTGTAATTTCTAGAGTTGAACGTTTGAAATAAAACATTTGATTGTTGATCAAAAAGATGCTAGATTACATGCAAACGTCTAACTTTTGAAACAAAAAGGCCGCAATTAAAATAAAGTTTTATATACACAGCAATAAAAAAAGTTTGATTATACTGGTCACGTAGATGTAAACAAAGTGCCGAATCTGCAAGTACGAATCTGTTTTAACTTTATTTAACCTATTTCAAAACCACAACGATAGTCATGTACGTGTCATTGAATATGAATATGAAATAGGTGTACTTAGAGGCAAACGCTTTAGAAAATTATACTGTATACATTTTAATTCATTGAATGAAATAGGGTAACCACCTGATAACAGTTTAAGAGTAAACATTAATATTTAAGACGATATCACATCGCACACAGAGGTTCAATTTTGTATTGAACGCCGCTGGTACATTACATAATTGCGTGTTATACTTATGAAGCTCACGCAAGAGCGTTCGCTATAAATTATATTAATATATAAGAAAATAATATCAAGATGACGTGGCACAATATTTACTTGAAATATAATTTGTTGGGAATTGCGATTAGGTCACTTTGGGTAATGCGTAAAACGACGTATGGCATGACTTTTATAAAGATATTGCACAAAAATGTCCGTTAGACTATGTATTATAGTAAAACCTCGATATAATGCCCCTCTTTTCCTTTGCCACCTCGTTTACCGCCAACATATTTCAATGTCCCTTTTTCTCGTATTCTTAAGAATTCCTTTATAGTTTTCCTTCAATTTATCGCCAAACCTCTTTATAACGCCAACATTTCTATGGACAGAGGGTTGCAGTATCACGGGGTTTTACTGTATAGAGCGGGTATTGATATATAAAAAATAAAATATCACCATTCCAGATAGTTACATAAGTAATAATATTGTCCAAAATGCATTGTAGCTGCACAAGTAAAACCATCATAATTATTCTTGACACAGATAAAGATTTAATAGATTTACTAAATAATCATACGAGACAGCTAAACAATTTAAGTTGGTAAAAGAAGCAAAATATGTGAACACTTCATTGTGCGAGAAAACTACATATGTATAATGATTAAAATATATTGCAAATATAAGAATGATATCAACGTCATTCGAGACAGCTATCGATGATCACGTAAAGGACCTCGGAAATTGTAAACGCAATACCGAGGACAAGATCGATTATGACAGAGATAACCTTGAGCAAAGTGATGAGTGTAACAATTATATACACTACCACAATCCATCCAAGACCGTCTGAAAATACAACAAATACATATAGTTATATATAGATATTGCAATGTCTTCGTCTTTAAAACAAAAATGACACGCTTCAAATAGTTTGACTACTCATGACAAACCTTTTCAAAGATACAATAACACAAGTAGGAAACAGCGGTTATCAAAGACGAATTATCAAAGCGAACGTATAGGTGAATTGACAAGTTGTAATATTTCTAATGAGAAAAGAAAAAAATAGGAAAGTTCTACCATGGTTATTAGAAACTTACATGAATAGCAAACATGTACAGATTGCTGTTTTTGATAGAAAGTATAATTTAATAATACTACATTACAGCTTACACAGAAAATCTGTTGCCAGCATCTTTGGTACTTGTTCCGCCACTGTGTAGTTAAGATCATTAAAGTAGATTCGGATCTCGGCGTACTCCCTGTATCAAAATGTAAAGACATGAATTCATAATTCTACTTCGGCTGCAAATGCAGCGATTAAATACAATTCCCTGCAGGCGAGCTTCAATGTCTTTAAATTTCCTCCAATACTGATTGAAGTTTTTTCCTATATCCTAAAACATTTGTTGAACATGCTAGATTAAACAAACCGTACGATGCATAGGAAGGGAGAACGGCTTGAAGCATTGTTTTTCATTTTTAGATGAACAATAATGCATGACCTATATCTGAACAAATAATGCAAACGTCACCTCTTATATATACATGTCATTGTGACGTTACAATTTAAATCAATTTTCCTGGGCGGGACTCGTAATAAAATTGTAAGTTAGCACTTCCTATATATTATTACTATGTAATAGCAATGATTTGAAAATATATATTATCAAACATAACTCACCGGGATTTTTTTTCTAGCATATAGACTGGAAGAAAAAAATTAGTTTTTCGAGCTCAAGATCCTTTTTGAAAATGAAAAAGGGAACGAAGACTAGTGATCCGGAGGGGATAAACGTCTTCTCCTAACTATGGAGTCATAAACCAGGAAATGAACGGCTATAAGGCATAAGTGTGCAATTTCTATGCGTTTCATAGTTAAAAGAAAATACTAAAAGGGTATGAATATTTCGTTTTTACACTTATTAAGCAGGGGCATGTGTTCAACTTCTGTTTTCCGCATGAAAATCGCAACTTTATAGTGATTTTTTCCGTTTATACCAAAAAGTGGCTGTTATGATTTAATCAAATATGGAGATTATTAAACTGCTCAGTGACGTACCTATTGTAAGTATAAATTAATCAGCATTCTAAAGAAAATGATACGAAATAATGATTATATCAATTCCTTGTTGTTCCGCATATTGTAATGTTTGTACCTGAGATTAGAAAATCCTTTGTCATGAAGCATGTCAGCGCTGTGGTCAGACAAAAACTCCACACTGGAAACGTTAGCGCTATAGGACATACTCTCACAGCGGAATGGACAGTTGCAGGTCTGCTGGAGTCTCATCTCAAAATAAGCTGGAATTGATCGCTCATCAATATATAATCCATTAAGTGATGGGACGGTAAAATATTGTACATGTACATGCTATTATGTTGGCACATAAGGAATATTGATTATAATTTAAATTTAACTTACTGAAAGTGTTATTAGTATGGATTCATAATACAAATTTTATTATGAATCCATACTAATAACACTTTCAGTAAGTTAAATTTAAATTATAATCAATATTCCTTATGTGCCAACATAATAGCATGTACATGTACAATATTTGTATTCGGTCGTTATATTCAATATTAAACAAAAATAAATTAGTGCTAGTCCACCCTAGTAAAAAAGAACACAAATTCCACCTTTCAAACACCCCAAAAAATAATATTATTGTTTGTAGTATTCTAGATTCCAGTCATGAACAACAAATGTATATTTCACGCAGTTTTATTACAAAGAATATGTCTAAAATACTCTTCAGGTTCTTGACTAGGTAATCCTCATATTTATAAATGTTGGCGCTCATGCAGAACAGCAGAATTATGCATTACAATATATAAAATCAGTGTATTACTGCAGACGATATAACATGCTGCGTGTGATTAAAAGATTGCTGCGGATAGCAATAGGGAAATGAAAGTTTGAATACAGTATACAAATACTTTAAAGTATCAAGTAATAAAGTTTTTGTTCATACTTACATGCTTTCGGTTTGTAGCAAGAAACGAACTGCATTGGCGTACATATAGTGTCATTACCTGTACAATACAGTATAAATAATATATGAAATTAACTTCGGTTGTTTCCGTGAGTATTAGGGTGAGGACGTGTCGGGTGGATGTCACGTGGTGTAGGGTATATATATAGGGGGCACGCGCTAGGCCGTTCGTGTTCGTTGTTCGTCACCCGATCTATACATGGTAGTTCTCTTATATATAGTGTAAAAGATGTTTTTTTTATAAACACATTCAAGTGCAATTTTGCGTAGATGTATGTTGGCCATTGGGGTAAGATATGTTTGGTTGTGGATAGTAATAATCGAATGAGTAACGAGCTATAATCCTATTTATGTCTAGTGTTATCATTTGAATTCAATCGTTTAATATTCGGACGAATATAATGAGGGAGAATATAAATAAAATTATTGTCATTGTTTGTACAACGTTTGTAGAATGTTAAATGGATTATACATATCTTGTCATTGCATGATAATTTTTTGTGTCATCACCTACACAATGTATCAAATAATACATATTATGTCAACCCTTATACAATGATATATAAATTTTAGATATTTATTATTATTATAACAGTATACTATCAAATTTGTATATGGTGTAGTTACCTGTATTATATAGTATTAATTAAATATATAGAGGATCTTTCATGAGTGACCATGTCATATTGTCTCTATATAGGAAAAACCAAAGTACTCCGATCATAGTATTGTCGTTCCGCACAGCGCAAAGTAGTTCCAAATGTTTTTTTTTTTAATAATAAACAATTTAAAAAGCAATATAAGTAATAATGGCATACTAACCATTTCGCATTCATTTAAAATATCAGAAAGTGTATCATGTGTTTTAGAAAATAGAAGTATTCCCTGTAGTGGCGTAGGAATTGTCTCCTTTAGTTTTGACCAATCGCAGTACCTTTAGGTTTTATTACACGTGTGTATTACCATATATATGACAACGCCGTATGTTATAGTAAAATGGGGCAGTTATGTGTTATGTGATAAAGTGTATTATTACCTGTTCAATGTATCATAAATAAAACATGACATTTTTTTTTTACCTGTACAATGACGTAATTATTATATATATTGTATCATTCTTTGAGCACAAAGTAAATATTTACATATCGTGATTGGGTAAATATCACATACCTGTGTCACATGGCAGCGAACATTTCACACTCTTAGAATCCGTACATATGGGATCAGTGTGTAATTATTGCGTTATTGACATTAACTCAATAACCAATTATCCCAAAAATTAGAGAAATCATTTCAAAACCTGATCATAGACATAACAGTTTTCAATAAATTCGTCAAAATACATGAGGGCGGAGCTGTGGGAATTTTCCGTGAACGAGACACGATTGTGTGACTTCATCAATAGTTTCTGTAAGCGACTTTAGGATATGAACCATGTGTCCGCTGATTAAAGAATAGCTTTTTTATTTTGGTCAGGTGATACCTCCAGTTGATCATTTTCTATGTTGAAGGATGAGTGTCTATAAGGCCAAATTATATCTGTGATTTACCCTACCCCTTTTGGTTACCCCAAAACTCCACTTTCTGTCAAACTTTAACCTTAGTTTTTGCATATATAATACAATAAGAGATCTTTGAACAAATTAAGGTGGTGAAAAATCCGAATATACAGAGGCCAAAAACAGGGCCTTATAGACACTCATCCTTTACTGGCGTTAACTGGAGTTATCACCTCACAACATGACGAAAATAGATCGCTATTCCTTAATTAAACAGTGTGTTGATTACATATAATTATCATGATAAGATAGATAGCAGAAATAAATATTTCCCCGCTCTAGAATCGCAGATTTCAGTGTAGTTGTTACGTCTCTTTTTGTCAACCTTGTATACACATGCTTACCTGGATCCGTGTGACTGCGACATTTACACCGGCGTGCTGTGTAGTTTTGCCGACACTCGATCATACAGGCAGAATAGCTATAGTGACTGTAGAACACTAGCGGGCTCGAGAACGAGGGCATACCCGTGTCCATACAATAGGATTCCTCCCTTGGCAGACTTCGGTACGGCCGTCCAAGATACTTGTACTGCAGTTATAAATATATGCATCATATTAGAAATCGGCACTTTTAATTTGACAATTCAAAATAATGGAGACAGGTTAAAGAAAGAAGTATTTGGATTAAATAGGAATTGAATCGATCATCAATCTTAAACGAACACGATATAGAGAGTTTGTATCTTGTATCAGTTTTGATTAGCTGAGTATGCATTTCGATGGTATATCGTTATATTGTGTTCAATCACGATTCTAAGTATGTTTTGTCAACTCAATAATGTTTTGCACATGATCAGTTACATGTACCTTTGTACTAGATACTGAAGCATAGGTCGAGTAGCCAGGCACAGCAAGGAATCCCTTCTCCCTGATGTTCGGTTCCTCAAATTTGTCGTGAAGAACAACCTGGATATGCAACAAAACAGTTAGATATTTTCCCGAGAATGAATAGTGAATATTCACTTAAAACCTTCATTTCAATAGATAAATTATAGCACCTTCTTTTCATAATATTATATATAGTATTTTTCTAACGAAGGGGAAAATAATATTTTAAGACTCACACAACTAAATCAGCCAATCATCAAGTGTTTAATACGTTTGTAGTTCCTATCTAAAATTAGCTCCGGTGAATTACTGGGCAACTAAGGAATGTTAATGAAGAACTGATGACATGTTTTTGAATGAATGAAATCCACAGGTATTTAAATTTTGAAAAATATGTATACTTTCGGTATTTATCAATATGTGTGTTCGGATTTGCACAGAGAGTCTGGGGGTTTATTGGATTTGGGTCAACGGTTTTCTTTGATAACTTCCGGTTATCGATTTCTAGACGTTGTAACACACGTATATGCTATTAAACATGTCTTTAAGTCATTTTGTAGTCTTTGTAAGCAATGCATATATGAATCAAGGCAGTTGTCAATGGTGTTGAAATTCAATGATTAAAGTTACAAGATAAAATGTTTAGAAATAGCATGAAATAAACGATTTAGTTGTGAGAGTCCTTTATACTGTTAAAATAATCTAGAGTTGGAAAAGTGATATCTATAGATTAATTTCAATCATTTTAATTATAAATACCATACCTTGATATTATTTCCGGTGTCAAACAGAAAATTATCACGTTCGACTTTTATGTACATGGTAAGTGATGACGTATTTCCGGTACTACTTGTCATCACGGACTTCCGGTCTGGGCCGTTGAAGGTAAAACACACTCCAAGTTCTGTCATACGCGGTGTAAAGAAATCATCACAGTAAATAAGTTGCCATTTTTGAACACATGTCACAAAGAAATTTTTAAGTTCGTTGTTTGTTCGTCCCACAAAGTTGTGGCTGAAACCGTTGTTTAGTCCTCCTGTCCTGGAATCCGTGTAATTCAAAGTGGTCTCCATGAAACTTAACGTGTTGGTCCTGATAAGGTACTCTGTAAATGCATTTTCTTCGATGGCTATAGATTTGTTGTAGGGATTAAGATTACAAATGGTTACAGCCGGGAACTCGAGCTCTTTTGCCGTTATCATGGTGACGTTAGTGTAGGTGTAATATGACAGGTATGTCTTTGTGTGCTCAGATACCTGCAGCAACATGACAATGGTGGACAGTGTCTGCATCATCAGCCACATGTTCCTAAAACATACGTCAAACTGAATTTATCAGTACTTTCATTCGCATCTATTGTACTAAACAGTATAAAAAATAGGTGAAAATAATAAACGAATATCTAAACATATAAAAACTTCACTTTATAATAAGACAAAAATTTGACACAAAAGGACAACAACAGGAAAGGAAGTAAAATCAAAAGACGTATACAATCCAAAGGATAACAGCAGAGGCGAAATAGGGTGATCATGAGGGGTAGTTGTAAAAAGTAAGTGATTTTTCATAGCACATATTAATGTATTGTTATTTTTTCTGTTTTGAAGAAGAGTGGGAGAACAAACAGGTTCATCCCCTAGAGGGAAGGTAAGAGAAATTTCCACGATTGAAGATTTTTGACAGTCTAAGCCTTGTCTGAAGCTGCCTTAGGTTGGACAGTCAATAATCCTCTTCAGGGGTGATTTCGTTTTTCAACCGTTCAGTTAAGAAAAAATCCTTTTTCATTTGCTGATAAATTACAATCATCACCCTTTCATGAATAATTATTGCTTTCGTCGGGAATCTCTCTTCCTCTCTTCTTACTCTTATGTCTCTCTTATCCCTGTCCCTCTTTTTCTGGATAAACTTCTACTTTTTGACCAAACTATTCCCCAATCCCCGTTTCAATTAATTCCAGTCATTTTCTTGTATATTTATTTTCCTAGGCGTGTGTTATGCAAGTTATATTTGTGAACCAAATTCTAAATTAATCATAAACTGGTAATTTACAACAACAAAAAGGTTTTTTTTATGTGCGAAGGTTAGATACATATATTTTAAATAAAATCCTTCTTGCAGAACAGAGTTGCACAGAATATTAATTATGATAAAAACCTTAAATATGTATGCTTAATTAAGAGAGTATTAGTGTAAAGGACCGTAGCTGACGTATTCCATCCTCAGACGGTTCCTCATGTGTATGATATGTCTGGAATTAATAAAAAAAAAAGAAAGAAAAAAGAAAAAAGAAAAAAAGAAAAAAGAAAAATTTTTCCTTAGAGCCTTATGGAAATCAAGCTATTATGATTACATAGATTGAACACAGTAATACTTTTGGGTATTGCCAACAAAAATTATTTTGTTCCGGAGGAAAGGTATTCTCCAGGACTTTACGGATAATGTTGTCTCACAAAAACAGAAATGAACGTCATTTGAACCTCAGTAAGTCTACAAATTATATCATGTTTATGATATATATACATCTGAAGAAGCATGACAAAAGCAAAATAGCCCATTTCTCTGTGAGATTCTGATGGCGACCGTTAAACGTATCACATAGTATAAATGAACTATCAGCTGTCGACATCTATCACGGAGGTCATGATATTCGGAGCAAGATCTTGAGTACCGAATCAATTGCGACGAGGTATGGGAAGCCGGTATGTTGATATCAAGAAAGGGAAAGCTAATGATTGGAAAGTCGAAATCGTTGTTCTTATCGTAAAGCCTAGTAGTGAGCCGTCCCTGTTTTTTGGGAAAGGCCTTTACAAATTGGCATTACTCGCATCCAATCCTTTTGTACATATTCAAGCAATAAGATTTGCTAAAACTAAAGTATACAGTTCGTCCATTTATGTTTCTTCAAGCTTTCTAGAGATCCAAATAATAAAACCCTTGTCAAAAGTGTTCCGAAATACAAGTGAAAATGCTGCTTTTGGGAAGGTAAAACAACTTTTGTAATGTTTCTTGGTTTTGTTTAACATGTTAGTTTTTAAAACTAATATTTCACAGAAACTATGCCAAAATAAAGCTTTAAAATCCTGATAGACATTGAAATATTGTAAGGTGATATAGGGCCATGCTCTTTTCAGCGTAAACTGGATCATCTCTGGTTGATAACCCTTACTGCTTACCAACCAGACATATCTATCAAGAAACCTTTGATATTTACATTGTATAACTTGCCCTGGAATAACAAACAAACCTTATCTAAAATCTGCATAAACAGAACAGAACATATAAACTTTATAATATACCTGTTAAAAGATGTATCATAAAACTTTTGTGACGAGTCGTCTTCGTCATCAACACTCGCTCTCCTACTGGGAATCCGGGGACGCATGCTGGCGTTCAGTCACTGACGTCACATATACAGCGTCATACTCAAACCTAAAACATTATATCACACAGTAAATATACCATAATATAAATATAACGACGTAACATTGGATGGTCTTACAACAAATTGCAGTCTGGAAACATCATGTCATCAAAACACACTTGAATACAGTATTCAAACTTTATGGTTTCAGCTTTAAGGTAACCAAATCTGAAGATAAGACAATTTCCCTCATTCAGTTTGCTTTTCAATTTCAACGTGACGTGATACCATGCTATTTTTTTTTTTTTTTTCGAAAACACACGAGAAGTTTAGTTTCCTCGCACATTTTCTTGTAGCTATTGAACTCAATAAAAACATTAAACACAATCTGACCGTTAAAAGCATACAGCATATTCCATTAATATTATTTATATGGAGCAAATATACATCTATTTGTTTTACAATAAGTTTGTTTGATTTTGCTGTTCCGGAAACGATCGATTGAGAGAGTTAGATAGTTTTGAACTCAGGTGCTTGGTGAAAGGATCTTTTATTCGTATCTCAATGAATGATATGTGTGTATGCATTAAAAATACAGATATATCAAACACGGTTGATGACATGCTTTCTGAAACGAACTACTGCTTTTGTTCCATAGTAATGGTTTCCATCAATATTCTATTAACGTGCGTTGTTTGTACTCGTTTCTATGCAATCACTTGAACAAATCTACAAACAATATGGCATAACAAACATTAAAATGTGTGTTGAAGGATACATGATCGATCAATACAGCGGCCCAAAGTGTTTTGTAAACAAGTACACGACAAATTGTGACGACGTCATAAATAAATTGTTTACAAATTTACCTACTCATCATGTCTATACAACATCAATGTACTCGCCGGGTTGTCATCGAGTTCTGTAGGAATAAATTACAAACAAACAGTCTGTTGTGAGGCTATATTTTGAACAGTTACAGTGTAAACGGGAGAGGTTGTTCAGAATTAAGCATTTTGATGTACGAGGACGAAGAACTATCAATCCTTTACGGACTACCATAGGTATAATCCACACTTACACATCCCTACCCCACTGCCCCGTGGTTTTCCCTCTACAGAGTAGCCTCCCCTTGATTTCGTTTTAAATATAACTGTAGTCTCGTTCAACCAGACGCTTGATCACTTGTAATTCAAGAGTCTGGTCAAACACAGTACTTTAAAATTACCATCACCAGAGGGCAGTGCTTTTACTTTCGTTTCCGGACGTTAAGTCAACGCCATTAAACATTTCAATGAATAATAGAATTAATGAAAACAATTACCTATACATGCATTCCTGAAGTACCCGTGTATTCACTTTTATCGAGAACAATGTAAGAAAATGTGTCAGATCTCCAGAATAATGCCATATACTTCCATTGAATAAATCAGAACTAAGCACAAAGCCAACAAGGCTGACTGAAGTTGGAAAAAAGCATTGAAAGCAAGTGAGATTTTACCTGTACACCATTCAAAACACCTGCAAGTTCTCACTCGGGTAATCTGGCTTGACTTGTATCAATAGCCTTGTTAGCTTCATGAATTATGTAAAATATCCAAAGAAAATACATGAAATCATTCTTTTTGAAGCATTTTCTTACATTTTTCTCGTTAATATTGAAAACATGGATACTTCAGGAATGCATATACAGGTATTTTTTAATGAATTAAAATATTCAATGTAATTTTGGGCCACTCAAATTCTGACTTCAAAAGTTGAAAAGGGTGTGTCAACCTTTGACCAATGAAAAAAATTACCAGAATCTCGGTAAGCCTCGTTACGATGTCACAAAACGAAAGCACTGGGTTTGACCAGACACTCTATTCGGCCTAGTTTGAGCAGGAAACAAGAGTCTGGTTGAACGAGACTAATAAAACTGTAGCACAGTTTGACCGTGATACTTCCGTTGACCAAGAAGCGCAGTCAGTTAGAGCGACAGTGTAACAATTTGAAGTCCAGGGTTCGAATCCTGGTGTAGCCATGCTGTTTTTTTCACACCCAGAACATTATTGTGGATTATTCCTTAGTTTATTTCATCTCCATAATATTTTCATAAAAATTCCGCAAGTTACACTTTTCTTTCAAAAATGATTTATCAAAGTCATGTGGGAAAGATAAGTGTCGAATGTATAGTTATATTTTTTGGAACTAGAATCGTTAATTACAGATAGTCTCAATCTAGTTCTGCTTGTTTTTCTTATTTTCAATTCTCCTGATTAACGCCCTTGATACCACTTCAACATGTATTTGTAGACTTCAACATCTTTTAGATAAAAATCTTTAGAATATAAATATGGACAGTATTTGGACTTTTGTAATGATGAACGTAAGACTCACACAGGTAATCGCACCTTTGAAATTTGGTAATACATTACATCTCCACCACACACGCAGGCACACAGACATAGGGAGACATCGACAAGGTGGCATAGGACTCAAAATTGTATTGATTGATGTATATGCTAATTATATTGATTGTATAAATGGTATGTCTATGTACTGTAAAGCGCTTTAGAGTTTATTCTAGCTATATAGGGCGCTATATCAAATGTTTGTTATAATACATACAGTATGCCAAAAAATGAATTACACTGCAACATACAGCTGTTTCGTCCTTCTGGGACTCATCAGTGATGTTAGGGGCCAAACAGACTTGACATATACTTGATATATACATATATCATATGCACAAAAACAACCTACAGTTTATCATATATCAACTTCATATTTTTTACAAAATATATACTGCAAAATTGTTTTACAGTAAAATGATTTGTTTGGACGCAGCTTCATTTGGTTTTACGAAAGTACTTTTGAAAGAATATACGCATTATCCAATATCTCCATTTCATTATTGTCACACTCATGTACGTTTAATCAATGTTATACAGGATAACAAAGAGCATTGGGAGGATTTAAGAAGTTTTATTTATTATAGGTCAATATTGAACTTAAATATTTCAAACAATGTCACGCAGCGTTGCGAGCAACACTAACATGAATGCGTGTAGTGAAATACCATTTGTTTGTTTTCTCACAATAGCTATTTAACAGAAGGAAATGGTTTTAATTCATTGTTACTATTGTTGATACAAAAACAAGACTGTGATAGTCTTTTAACACATTTGACGGATTTCAAAAGTTTGTATTGATGTATAGTGCTGTTTAGACAAGCATATCAAAGTTTTACCTTCAGGATATCCTTTGAAACTGTAAACATTGTGACGTCATTGAATGTTTATATTGTGTGAATATAATAATCGGAAATGGACTGGGTATCTTAAATTTAAGGGTCAGAACTATATACTGAATATAACAGATACTGTCCAAAATTAAAACATGAATTCATAAGAAAATCTTACCATTTCCTATCATTTTAAAGCATCTTTAATCAAACATTCTGTAACATGATAGTGTCATATAGGAAAACTGCACTTTAGCCAATCAAAGAGTTAACTGAGAAAATGGATTTTATTAGAAAAAATATATGAGCTTCGTAAAGACTCATCATGACAAAAAATATAATAATGATGTAAACTTCTAATTATATTCCTTTTGTATCTTTCTGTACAATGTATAACTATGCAAGATCAGATATTAATATCTTAATTAAAGAAATAATTCTATTGACCGCTTTGATAAACCAGAAAGTAGATTTGAAATGGTTCAAAATGCATATTGAAAATCAAAGAAAAGGCTTAAAAATGAAGTAAATGATTTCTTCCAAGAGGCATCTACTAGTAGGGATAAAAGAAAGATCTGGGATATCCACGTAAGGCTCACCTGGAAGGAACAGTTGTATGAAAGAGTGTATCCATATAGCACTTCCATAATTTGTTTTCCGAATTCCCATAATATGATCAACAAAGTTTAAAAAAAATGGCCGACCTGTGCACAACACTGGGCTAGGCTCTCAGAAATTGGTCTGTATGCTGAAGAAATAGTATGTGTTTGTAAAAAATAATGTAAGCAAAGGATACTCTATGTGCTAAGGAACACGTTGGTATAGTCTGTGATTGACAAAGAAGAAATAATCCACAGGATTGGACTGGATTTAAATTACACCTTAATCATATCCTACAAGGTGATATGCCTAGGGGGAAAAAAACAAGTAAAAGGAAAAATAGTGAGGCAAGTATTGACTTTCCAATATCAAAACCAGAATCTAAAAGGCAAAAGCCTCAAGAAAGTGATATAGAAGGTGACACAGAAAGTGTAAGTGAATCAGACTACACAGACTGTGAACTAGAAGACAGCATTGTCATCATGGCCGCCAATGGTAATAGTGAACCAGACCTAGTCAATGCCATAATTGCAGCACTCCAAAACCCAAATGTCATTGAGAACATTTGTAAGCAGTAAATTACAAAATAAAATTAAAGAATTGCAGGATGAAGTTAAAAATAAAGACAGGAGGATAACTGAACTTGAAGTAGAAGATCTGGAAATGTACGGCCGTAGGAATGGCATAAGAATAATTGGTATAAAAGAAAAAGACCAAGAAAACACTGACAAAATTGTCCTAGACATTGCAAGGGAAATTGGTGCAAATATTCCAGAGTTAGGCCTGGGACGTAGTCACCGGGTAGGACAAAAGAAGCAAAACTTTCCTCGCCCAATCATTTTCAAATTCAATTCCCATAATCTAAAAGTGATGAGGAGGAAAAAGAAAAACCTTAAAGGCATCAACCCAGGACAAATAGTAGAAGGGTCCAGGACGATCTAAATACATGCGATCTTGACAAAAACAAGAGGCGAGTGGGCTCAATGAGCACGAAAATTAAAAAAGGACGGTAAATGTTCTGACACCTGGACACGGGATGGTATCATTTTTATCAAGGAGTCAGAAACACGGATTCATCGTATACACTCTGAAACCAACCTGGAACAGTTAGAGAAAAAACTTGGTGGTTCCTAAATCATTATTGTGAACAAATATTATTACATTCTTAAATGCACTGTGGAAAAAACTATAATTTAAATCCTCATCATTTTAATTGCATATGCCTACTTGATATTATTCCGG